GGGTCCGGGAAAGATAGAATGGTTCCGTTCCTTCCACTCACTTCCAAGTAATGCATTCTAGAGAAGCCCGAACGAAGTGGTGGGCGGTCATCATGTCACTTTCCTTCCTCTCAATCACCGCTGACGGGTGAATCAGGAAAGTGGATGACCAAGAGATAGGAAGGTTTGGAAGGGACAAAGGACCGTGTACCCGCTCTCTCCGCTCGCTGTCAAGGCTCTGGAAGCCGTCCATTGGCTGTGAGTGACTCGCCAATGGAGATAGACGGCTGAGAGCCCATGCCTTATCCCTTCCAGCTCGTCTATTCTCGCTGTTAAGAAAGGAAAGTTACAATGTGAAAAAGACAGCGAGGGAACCAACCGAACGAAGAGAGGGGGAAAGAAAGAAGGAAGATAACTCAGGAACCCACGACCTCTCTCCTCAGCCCTCACCAATATAATGGTTGCATCTGGGGCTGAGTTAAGATGTCTTGAGTTACCTTCCGGCTTAGAGACCAGTCCAAGCGCTGCATTCATCCACATCTCATGGTCTTTTATTTGCTTTCTTGTGTATTTCTTTTCTCTTGTTTGCTTCATTATCTTTTCTTTTTATTTATGTTTTCATCTTTATTGTTTATTCTTGTATTTTTTATTATATTTCTTTTCTCTTTCTTTTTCATGTGTCTTTACTATCATCTAATTATCATCTTAAAATCAATAAAAAGACAAGATATAAAAGTGTAAGGAATAGCATTCCAGGGAAGTTCATGCCCTTTTCTTAGCTCCGAGAGAGCCGCTAGAATAAACGATAGAACGAGAGGGAGATAAACGCCCTCTCACAGCCTATTTAATATTGTTTTTCTTTATTTACAAGTTATTTATTATTATTTATTTTATTTGGTTTTTTATTATGTTTTCATGTTGTAATAATTATATTGTGTATCCTAGAGCCTTGACATGAAGGCGAATGAAGGCCTATTTCTTCCTTACAATTCTCGGAACCACGTTAACCCCAATAACCCAAAGACAGCTACAAAGCTAACAAATGAAAAGGAAAGGGATCTGAAAGGGAGGAATATGTGATGGATGGAATATTGGGAAAAGATGCCCTCACTTTCTATCTTATATTAATTCCCTTTAATCTCAGGTTCTCGCTCTCGCTTTCTCTTATCCATCACTATCCATCTTTATTTCTGAGGTTATTTGCTTCTCTTGGTTTCTTTTCTCTTTCTTGTCTCATATTCTTCTCCTTCAAATTCATTAAGATGTAACCGATGGAAGGAGAAGGTAATAACAGGAATGACATAGGAAAGAGATGTAAGGACCAGAACTTGTATGTTGATGAATGAGAATTAACTTGTAGGGAATAGAGAAGAAGGAAGGTCTACATGTCACCTAGAAATCATGGGTTTTGGAAAGGCTTAGGAACTAACATATCTTTTCCCATTCTTTTCCTTTATCATCCTAAAGTATAACGGTTGTGCGCCCAAATGAGGTGCTGTTTGCGCGTTCCACCCTACTCGGGAGGGACGTGCCGTTCAAGGTTTTCAAGCGTTGGGCACTGCGTGACCGAACGCCTATCGGGCCTTTGCTTAGGCCGACAGCGGAGGTCCCTTATACGGGATACGTGCTGCTGACGATGGCCGAGTATCGGTCCGCCCTCAAAACGAGGTGCATCCGGAGGCCCGGCAAATTCGCCATCACAGTTTTCCCCATGCGACCTGAGCAGGTCTGCAGGGGGGAGATCATGATTGGGTTGGAGGGCGCAAAGGTGCCTCTCCTCAAGTTGCCAAGCCCCAGTAATGAGGGCGAATTTTATGTTGACGACCGCGTCAAATACATGGACAAGCGCCATGTCGTTGTGGCCGTTGACCTGAAGTGGATGGCCATCGAGGAAGCCGCCGGCATCTACAAAACCCGACGCGGTTTGATTGCTGTGCGAGAGGAGATACATGCGCCCTTCTGGCGCGCATGTTATCTGCATCATGAAGGGGATGTAATATACATCCGTCCCTGGGCGGTCCGTGAGTTGAATGTTCAGGGACCGCGGAGAGGGGAGTCATTCTCATGGGACAAAGCTCCCACGCATGACTACTGGTGCCCTCGGTGCGCGCATTTAAACATGTATGGCACCATTCTATGCAATGGTTGCCATTTGCCGATTTTCTATCGAGAATGGGTGCCAGGCACCGTCCGCTCCCATGTTAGGAGAGGTCAGCCAGTCTGGTTAGACGGACTCAAGGCAGTCCGTGCCAGCAGCTGGTATGAAGGGGAGACCGACGTGTGGGCTCCTCTCATGGCATCGGTAAACCCGATCCGCGAGGTGGTCAGCTGTATGATCTCCGGTTTGCGCTGTGCGCCGCACCTTGTGCACAATCCCAATGCGGATGTTGTGCAAGTTGCCTACCCCGCGACCTGAATCCAGGTCAAAGGGAGATCAGCAAAAGGGCAAAGCCCCTGCGCAATCCTGGCCCAAGGGTGGAGGTCACAAGGGTGACCAGTTTCCAGGAAAGGGTCACAAGGGTGATCAGTACAAAGGCAAGGGTGGCCAATACGGCTACCAACGAGGACAGTTCGGTCGTGGCGGATCCGCCAGATCGAGAACTCCCACAGGTGGGTATCAGCCTGATGCTCGCGGGTCGGGATTCAAGGGCGCACAGGCTGCCCCTTACCCGTTCCCGAGTCCGATGTATCCCACTTTCCCAATGGGAGGATACATGCAACAGCCCATGGCTGGCATGATGCCACAAATGTGGCCTGGCGCAATGCCGCAGGGTTGGCAGCCGCATATGCAGGGTGATCCCCGCGAGTTCGAGAATCCGAACTCGCCGCATACCCCTACCTGGGGTGACGGTGACGAGTTGGCCGAGACTGTGCCTCCTCCCCCTGGGGACTGGAATGCCAGCAAGGGGAAGGGGCGGCACGGCGGTGGACGACATCGGTGATACCTGAAGTCTGTCCATGCGTTTTGCATGGCTGCGCCAACGCGCATGCTTTCATCCCGGAATTCACAAAATGGGCTATGCTCCTTGTAGTATTTCTTTGTCTGGGCTATTCGCCGTTTCAGAATTCAATTGCATGTGTAGCTGTGCGCTATTCGCGCAAGCTGCGATTACCTGTCAGGTGTGCATCGCCGCAGCAAGGCAGTCACTCTCGGCGGCGTCTATGGCCGCTGGTGATCTGCACCCACCTGCACCGCTGCTGCTGCTGGTGATGGTGCTCATCAAGGTGCCGAGGTGAAGATCACGGGTGCCCTGCACCGCTGCTGGTGATGTCCTACTCGGACCTGAACCGCCGAGTGCCGCTGGCGGTATCCCTGGAGGTGGTCTTCGAATGATCGCGCGCCTAGACGGTGCTAATTTATAGCCAAAGCTCATTGGTCTATGCACCATGTTTCAACCAACTGGCCAATGCGCCTAATCTAATAATTAAAAATTAAATCCACTTGAATCAAATGGTTCAATGTGGTTGCAATGCAAATGACAATTCTTCGGCTTCATGCCTGCCATTCCGAAGTTGATCCTTTGTTCTTTTCTTTTGTTGCTTTCTCTTGTTTGATTTGGCTACCGGCGAGAATCCGCCCCGTACCCGTAATTCGGGGTGGTGGCGGGATCCGGGCACCAATGAGTGCCCGGGTATGGGGTCGCGAACCCTGGTAGCCTAATCGGCTTTGTTTGTCTTGTTTGTTGCATTTCAACTTCAACATGGCCAATGCGCCTTTCCAAATTCACTCCTTCTCTTTGTACAGTCGAGGGGGGTGTTTTTGGGGGCATGTACTTTTATCATAGCGTATGTTATTCCCTGCCAATGTCCAACGCGACATTTGGCTCAAGCTTTTGCACTCGGCAAACTTTGCCTGCCATTTCGTCGGGAAAAGCTCGCGGCGCTCCACACGCCGGCTGCGTGGCATCGCGGCCGTCGTAACTGGGGCGGTGGTCTTTATCCCGGAGGTGGGTCGGGCTATTGTTTGGGGTGCGCTGCTATGCTCGGTCTCTTCTTGTTACAAACGAGGCACCCCTTTTGGTTCGTGTTAGTGCCGGCCGGGGGCAACTGCTTTGCCCTTGGGACCGGGGGGATAAGGTGGTCTCTTCTTGTTGGTGGGTTAGGGCCTGTTTTATCCATCCCGAAACTCTGTTTCAAACCCTTTCGCAAAATGGAAACCACAAGGAACACCATTCGGGGCCCGCCCTAATTGGACAGATAGAGTACCATGCTGCAGTTTGGCAGCATTAAGGACCATCTCATCGACATGAAGGGTTTACCACACGCTGAAGCTTCCTGTGCGTTTGAGTGCTGGGAGTCTTTTTGCGCGCTGTACAAATTCAGGCGCCATCATGCTGCCGCTTCCTTTTCAGAAGACAACGTGATATTGAACACGAGACAATAGAAATGTCAGCTGCAAGAGAAAAGGAAGCATATTAGGCACTGCTCGCCATAGGAAAGTTTCACTAGTCCTATTTACGGAAGGTCAACGCTTGCCTTCGCCCCGTTCAGTACAAACATACCCCTCGTTCGGTCAATTGTGGAAAAAGGGGCGTGTGTCATTGCAGTCGGCACTGGCAATTGACTACTCGTCCGCCTTTCCCATGCTGGTGCTGCACACAAAAAGTGGTATTTGACTGGCTCACAGCACTGCAGTGTGTTGCAACATTAGCACAGCTGGCGGCATGCATTTGCAGTTTTTGAAGCTGCACGCTGCACATGTGCGTATCATTGTTGTGGCAATTGCTAGCATCAAGCTTTCAATAGGCGCACCTCCTGCATGGATAGATAAGTCCAAAAGCGGGAAGCTTCTTGACGCTACATGATGCGCCTCCAACATGCCTAGCGCAGTCCTCAAGGTTTGCCGTGGTGAAAGCACGTGTGGCAAGAAGCAATCGCTTTGTTTGCCTTGTCCAGGATATTTTGCTCTCCTCCTGATATTCACCGTGTCTCATGCGGGAGCTTAGACATTGAAGTGGACTGTTTGCACGCTTGATCGACTAGGCTCAAGATGATGACTTCGAGTGGTTCCGCTGCGATGCATGCTCTGCCCAATCCCTGGCTTGTGGATTAGTGGCATTCAACCTGGGACGCGTGTGCCCAAGGCCGCCTTCTTCAAGATCAACAGGACCAATTCTTGCCAGTCGCACGTTTTGCACTGGCAAGACTCATGTTTTGCGAAGGACTCTGGTTGAGAAGCAGCTTCTTCGCAGGGCAAGCGTGGCAAGCTATGAGTTTTTGGAGTCTCATTTGCACTGGTGTAGCTTTTACGATGTGTGTATGCAGAGCATGATGTCTCGTTACCCTTGCAAGGAGATTGTTGATGAGGCTGCCGGAACAATGCATGACAACCAAGCGATAGTGAGAATGCAGCTAGCTTGCTGCCTTTGCAAGCAGCTTTGCCAGCGCCTGCAGGTATGCGAGACTATGTTTACCAAGCATGAGCAGCTTGTCTGACAGATTGGTTCCTTTGCGCGTTCTTTCGCCGGCGAATGAACACCCACCTGCGCAAGGTATGGGGTCAAGCAACATGAAGCCTCTTGTCTCACGTTTTGTTCGGAGTGTCTTGTTTTGTAAAGCCCAGCAGCCTGAACGCCTCACATGCCCAGGGCAAGAAGTATCTCTTTGGTCCTGGCGTGACCGATCACATCCCAGGGCAAGGCTTTGGCCAGATGGGAATGGGCGAGCTTGGGCTGCACAGAGAGCCGACAGTGGATCCCACAGCAACTGAATTCATGGCCGGCATGGCCGAAACCCTTGTGTTTGTGGCGAAAATGTATGCTCAGCCATCCTGGCTTCAATCATCAGCGATGAGTCCTGCGTCTGAGTCAGGATTACGACAAGCGGATGGCATCATATTGCAAGATGTTTGTCGAGGAATTTGGCGAGGCGAGGTCACACATTCACGCACGTTGCAAATGTGTACAAGGCAAAGGCTGTTGTGTTTTACTTCATCAGTGCCGTAAACGATCGAGCATGCAGGAGAAGCTGCAGCAACTGTTTTGGGAACAGAGGCAGACAGGAATCGGCGCTCGGCTTGCAATTGGGGTACCTGGCGAAGGCAGATCAACCACACCCAGCTCTGCTTCGAGGAGTGCCAGACATCTGCAAGTGGAACTGGTGTGAGGGCCCCATGCAGTTGTTCCGCTGTTGAGCATGCTGCCATTCTTCCTTCCGAGCAAGGCTCAGTCAAAGACGCAAAGACGACCAAGGACATGCCGCGCTAGACGCCACTGGTGGCATGTGCAAGAGTGTGCACGGTACAAAGAGGGAACGGCAAGCACTAGAAGGAGCAAACAATGCCGATTTTCCTGTGCCCAGCTTTGACAGGACTCGAAGTTCAGCGGTTGAGGAAAAGCCAAAGCCAAAGCCCAAGAAGCCGACGGCCAAGCCAGCGGAGCCCATAGGAGAGCTGGGCAACAAGTTGTCATTGGAAGTTCCAGAGCAACTCTTGCAGTCGCTGCGCAATGCATAGTTCGCCAGGATCGAGCGCGAATCTGGAGAAGGCGGGGAGAAGAAAAGAAGCTTCTGGCTTCCCTTCTCAACGTCTCAACTTCTCAACTCACGGAGCTGACCCTTCCAGACGCTGGCGCTGCTGCCCCAGTTCAGCGCCAGTCAGCTGCGGCACCTGGGGGAGGCGGGTAGAAAGGCTCAGGAAACCACAGGCTTTGGTATGTGACAAAATAGGGAGCCGCCCCACATGTTGGTTTTCCTACCCACCCGGACTGACATTTTTCAGTTTGAGTCAAGATGGGTCGTGTGTCGCCAAAAGGACACTTGACGGCCAGTGGTTCGGTTTTTGCACACTGTGCTTTTTGTGGAAGCAACTTTCATCGTCGGACAGGGATGTTTGCCTGGTCCGATCGCTTTGGCACACCTGGTTTTGTGTGAACAATTTTTTTGGCGGGGATCCGCGAAAATTGGATTTCCGTTTCACGAATGCTAACTTTACGGCCAGCCCCTGAGGTTTGCCGGCGCCCGGAACCAACGCCCCAACACCAAGACCCGGAGATCACGAAGCTCCGACCCGCCTGAAGCATTTTGTCTGCGCTGCCACTGCTGTTACTTTGTCACGATTCGTAAAGCCAAGCGCAGCTAAACCATAAAAACCCTAAACCTAACCCTAAAAACCCTAAACCTAAACACTGAAAGCCCTAAACCTAAGCCTAAAAACCCTAAACCTAAACCCTAAAAACCAAACCTAAACTTTAACAACCCTAAACCTAGCCCTAAAAACCCTAACCTAAACACTGAAAGCCCTAAACCTAAGCCCTAAAAACCCTAAACCTAAAAACCCTAAACCTAAACCCTAAAAACCCTAAACCTGAACCCTAAAAACCCTAAACCTAAGCCCCAAAAAATCTACACCTAAAAACCCTAAACCTAAACCCTAAAAACCTAAAACCTACACCCTAAAGACCCTAAACCTAAATCCCAACAACCGTAAAACCCTAAACCTAAACCCTAAAAACCATAAAGCCCCAAACCGAAACCTAAACCCTAAACCTAAAACCCTGAACCTGCCTGCCACCCACGCCCTCGCGGTACCACGGCCCTACGTTCTGAAGAGAACGGAGGTCACCACGTGTCAAATATGGCTGCACGAGTTCTGCTACTTGACTAGTAAAGGGTGCCATACTTGAACCACGTGTTGCAGGAACTCGAGTCACCTGGGCATGGGCAGGACAAGCGTGGATTAGGGGGTGACGGCAAACCTCGGGGGCTGTGGGTAACTTTAGCTCGCCATAAATTCTACTTGCGTAAGCAAGCACCCAGATTCTATCATAATGTGAGGCAAGTTAAGTTAGACCCTGAGACTACACCATTCTTCTGGATTATTTGGGTATATGTTAGACTCTATTTTGTAGCCCTCGACCACAAACCTGTCGCAGTGCTACAAGTGCTCTGTTTGCGGTGCCTAGCATTGCAAACAGCCGTGACCGCTAGGCTTGGAGGGAGAGTGGTCAGATATCGTGTGCGGGTAAACAAGCAGCCAATGCGCGGACCGCAGGATCACCGACAAGGCATGGTGCCAGCGAAGTACTCTAACGTCAAGATGTGATCCACTGAAAATCAGCGTTCAAATCAACCAGTCACGCCGTAGATAGGGCAGTGGCCTTGAAGCTGCATGGCCCTTGTTTTGCGTCGACAAATAATTCAGTTGAAGCACTGCAAAATATTTGAAACACGATCAACATAATCATCGGAGTTGGGTGTATCAGCACCAGTCGGTCGCACAAACCATACGCGTCTGAAAAAGGGAGGCAACCTTGTCCTTGTTGACATGGCTGCAACATTAAAGGCTAGGGCAACAATAAGGTGGGTCACAGCCGTGCCGAAAACGGGCCACAGTAAAGAACTGAGATTCTTGAAAGGCTTGCCAGTGGCGATTCGGTCTAAATTAGCTCAACTAGGTCTACTTAGCGCGACATAGCAGTTGTTTAGATCAAATCAGTCAGGAAAAGAGGGTGCAGGCTCGAGGTGTAGCTGAACTTGTCTCAGATTGGGCCGAAATGATTGATTCCTCCAGGTCGTAGATTCGATTCCCCCCGCCGCCCCTCCCCCCAACTGGGCCTAGGCTTGCATGCAGGCGACACGAAGGATCTGACAGTAATGTCCCCAAAGCAGCCTCGGCAAGAAGGCAATCTGTCAACAGCCTGTTTTGGGATCATGTGTAAGCCAGTGCACGGAATGAAATCTAGACTTGTTGAGGTTATCAAACATTGGTGTGGAACCAGTTCCTAGAATCAATCATGCAGTTCCTGCCCCAAACGCGCCTTCAGCTTCTAGGCTCGTTTTGGCATCAAACAGTCCCCTGACTGCCTCACCCTTGCTCAATCTTGCTTTTGCTGTTTGCTTCGTTGACCCGCAATTGGCGAGGCTGTGCTGGCAGAGCTTGCTTCCAGAGCAACTGCAAGAGCCGAGCTTTGAGCCCGCTGGAACTCCTGAGACTTTCAGTCGAGGCGAAGCTCACAGATGCCACGAGGATGTAGAGGTCTGCCACGATCGCGCAGCTGCCGGCCCGGCGACAGGATCTGCACGTGCGCTCCACGAGGCCAGAACTTTTCAATGAGCATGCCAGTGATTTCACCGTGAACTGTGATGCACGGAGAGAGGTGAAAAATGGCACGAAAGCGTCAGGCATCAGTTCGTAGCAGTGACCTGTTGCATAAAAAACAGCTGCAACGATACATGAATGTCGTGGTTATTGCTTGCAACTCTTATCAATCTTGGCTCCAGAGTTGGGTGCGAGCCCGTGGGCGGGCTCGTGGAAATCTCCAATGGTGTATGCCCGAGAGGCAGGGCTCTTTTTGCTTCAGCCTTTTTTGAGAAGGCTTGCTCCGAGGATGTGGAAAGTGTGCTGGCTGCTCGTGGTTGGAGGGAGATCAGGCAGATAGGCAGGGGAAAACGGGGGCAGATGGCTCAGTTGGAACGCGGGCGATTTGAATCGCGTGCCAGGGGAAGGCTCATTCGCCAAGGCTCTGCTTGTAGAGGCAGCGGATGGCACCCAGGCCGTTTGCAAGGCCAGGGACTTGTAAGCGCGAGCATCGCAAAAGAGTTGGCAGTCAGGTGATGGACATTAGTGAGGCATCCAGAAAAGAGGCGGGAAAATCAAGAGACGAGGCCAATGTTAGTAACTGTTGGTACTGTTGTATTAGCTTCCCACACCTGCATTGACAAAATGCTCTCATGCCGAAACTCAAGTTGATCGCTTTGAGAGACACTTTGCAGTGTCGTGTGCTTGTCAGGCTGAAGATGCCGCGAAGGATACACTTGACATCTTGTCGACTTGTCATTGCCAGTGTTGTGAATGGCGTGATTCAGAGTTGCTCTTATTGTTCTTGTCTTGAGAATTCCTCATACACTGGTGCGCAGGAAGGCAGATTGCTAGCATCCTTGCAACATCCCTTCGTCGTGCGGTACCGTGACAGCTTTTGCGAGGCAAGGTTCCCTTTCTTCATTATGTTGGTTGGCAGAACGCACGAATTGGCGGCTGGCATGTGACCAGGGGAATTGAGCTCACTTTCAGGCTGGCGTGTTGTGCCTCATCATGGACTTTTGTGAAGGCAGGATGGCGCCTCGAACTCTTGGTCGCAGAGGTTACTGTGGCCGCACGCTTTTTTGCCTGCCACATAGATGGCTCCGCATCTTGAAATGTGACAGGCGGCGAGCTTGCCAAGCAGATTCGCAGAGCCAGGCGAAACCATCAGAGGCACCATGGCATCTCTTGCTCTGAAGAGACGCCCACAGTTGCACCGGATTTCCTTTTTCTGCTTTTCTGCAGCCATTGCTGCGGCATACCATTTCATCTTGATCGCAAGGATGATCCTCTGCTATTCCGCTCCGCTGCCTGCTTTGCCTGCTGTGCCTGCCTCTTTCTCTGTCTGTCCGCCTTTTTGTATTGCATTTGTTCTTCAGTTTTGACTCGTAACCTCTGTCCTTTTTCCATTCTTTGCATGCTCGCTCGTTCATGCTCCCACTGCCATCTTTGTCTCATTTTCTGTTCTATGTTTTCAACCTGTTTGCTCAATGATTGTCTGCTGCCTGGGAAGAACGCCGGATCAGCTCATGTAGCAGCAGACAAGTGGAGCACGCTTGTTTGGTCTGCAGGATCCCGGAAGAGCAGATACTCCGATGGTTTACGCAGGCCTATGCGAGTTGGGTGTGTCAATGCAGTGGAGCAGCTGGTGGCTTGCTACACGCAGTGAGCCAGGCTATGCTGTCGCTGAAGTATATCCATGACAAGCACATCCTTCACAGGGTCAGCTTTGCAGCTGCACGCATGCCAGAAATCAGATCAGTTTTATGAGTTGTTGTCATGACCCTTTCCCCGCAAAGAGTGGACGGGAAGAGTCAGGACCTAAAGCCAGCAAATTTCTTCCTCACGAAGACCGGGTGGCTTGGGCAAGATTAATTGCGCAGTATGTCGAGAAGGCTGCCTACTGGTTCAAGCAGTCTTTGTTGGGCACCCCGTGGATGATGGGGTTGACGTAAATGCTAAGCCTCGTGAGGCTGACAAGGCTGACAATCATGATTCCTAAGCTGATGGTAGATAAATACAAATTATAGGTGGATGACAATACGGACAAAGATGATGCCAATTGCATGAGTATAGTGACAACCACAGTGAACACATGATTGTTTGTGTGATCTTGTTCATGTCAATGTAATGTTCATGCTCTCGTCATTTGAGAGCATTTGTCTCCTGTTGTCCTGTTGTCCAGTGGTTTCTGCATGCCCTTACGCATTGTTGCTTGTTGCAATGGAGGCATCTGAGAGAGATCTTCCCAGTTCCGCAGGTCTCTGAAAATGGGTGATTTTGGAATTGCCAAAACCATGGCCCGGGCGCTAAGATGGAGAGTCACCCCACATGCAGCATGCATACGACAGCACTGACTTGCTTCTGTCTGAGGCTTGTACGATAGCCTTTGCAAAGACAAGAATTGGTACTCTCCTTAGAACAGTTTCGACCTCCTGCGATAGCCCAGTGGCAGCCAACAGAGTGAATTTTTGATGTCAACCTTGAAGTGAACGTCATAATGACTGGAAGGATGAGGACAAGCAGACCTCTTGTATTTTGCTAAGGTACTCCCTACTATCTTAGTCCAGAAGTTTGCCAGGCGGTGTCTTTGTGTGTTGTATGTATGTGTCCTCATTTTGCTTCATGAGTTTCCGGCCTAGCCGCAGCCGCAGGAGAAGCCATATGCTTGGGCATCTGACATGTGGTCGATGGGTTGGGCGGCTAAGCATATGCAGCTGCACTTCTGCAGGTAGGGGATGCTTTGTCATCTCGCTTTGCAAAGCGACATTTGTATGAACACGTTTATATACATGAGACCAGGTATGTCAGCGACCAAGCTTGCAACCCATACTTTTGCTCTACACACTCTACAGATTGACCCGTTGCTTGCTTGAGGAAATCCACTCTTTGCTGCTGCTTGACGTTGTGCCTAGAGTGAGTTGGACGCATTCTCGGCAGCACCCAGGTTGCTTGAGGCTTCCATTTAGGCTCTTGTGGCTTCCAAAATGTTTTCTTCGACTTCTTTCCTGCTTTTGTTTTCCGCCAAAATGATGTGCTACGCGCCCAGCACATGGACAGGCCGAACGGCCACAGACATGCAAATGCGATTTCAGTGGAAGTTAATGCCGACAACATGCTCCCCAACATGCTCCCCAACAAAATTAATCCATGTTTGCATGCAAGCCCTTGTGGACCTGGCTGCAAACTGAAGGCAGCTTGCAAAAAATCGAATGACAGCACGAAGCCAAGCTCATGCCAATGCAACATGATGCTGAAACAATGCCCGGTTCAACACCGGAATGATATATTTGTGATGTCGCTTCAAGGCTGGCAAGCATGCCCAGAGATGAGTGGCGACACACAAAATAATATTAGCTTTTAATTGGCCTTTTGGATCTTTGTCGTCTTGTACTGTGGCACTTTGGGTTCTTTGTCCAATGCCATTTAGATGACGATTTCATTAGCAGGTACAAGTGGCCCTCCACTACAAGACCCAACCAAACAACTTTGTGCCAAACTTTCAAATTTCTATGCATGTTGTCTCAATACTGGAACTCAGTGAGTAGTTTTTGAATATTCAATCGATGCCGAATCCAGTCCACAACGCGGGCTTGTTCTGTCGATGTTCAAATCAGGCGTTTCAACGTTGCTTTGATGCCAAATATTGCTGCTGTCAAATGGGTGTGTTCTTTGTTGAGGGCACCTTTGTTTTGTGGTTTTAAAAGAACACCAACAGGAGTCCCTGAAACACATACCCAAATATGGTTTGCAAGCACTCTTTGGCATTTGGGGCAGCCTTCGAATTTGCATACCATGGTGGCTGCATCAATTATCATCTATTGGCATGACTGGTTGGCAACAGTTCGCTGCTGCAGCAACCCGCAGTGGCATGTGTAGGCTGAAACAATGTAAAACACAAAGTCGCCCTCTGCGAGGGCTGCATATTTGTCATGTAAAGGGGCCAACACAATGGGTCCTCTAAATGCTTCGCCCATTGTGCCCATGAATTCCTTTGTTGCATAGATAAGCACTCGACTTTGGCCTTGGACATGTTGACAAGCTGGTTCTGTTTGCAAGCATATTCTCAAGAAATACACAGAGCTAATCTTTTAGTTGGCTACCTACACTGGAAGCTGCCTAATGTCTTTGCCTTCTTGTCATGTGCTTGGTACACAACTAAAACTTGAAGAACTGTGTATACACCAAGGTTGCATCCTGTATGAGATGTGTGCTTTGCCGGCAGCTGAGATTGTGTTGTCAGCTCAAGCTACCCCGCTTCCAGAAGGAATGGGACCCGTAACACGTTGTGTGCTCGAATAGGTGACAGGAAGGTGAAGACACAGAGAGAGAGAGAGCTTACAAATCCACGTACTACGCTTTAACCTCGCCGCATACTGACAGGCAAGTCCCTTTCGATGCGCACAGCATTTCGGGCCTTGTGCAGAAGATCTGCTATGGCCCCTTGCCGACTGTTCTGCACTCAGTTCGGTGCAGGCCGGTGCGGCCATTGGGAGGTTTACGCCAACTTGGGTCCCTGGGCGAGCGTCGAAGCTTCGAAGATGTGCAGTTGAGGTGCCAGACTGCTACTCTGACTTTCTGCGACGGCAACTTGCCTGCATGTGGTGCAGCAAGGTCTTCTTTGCATCTGCCAAATCCGCATGAACTGATTGCCCATCTTGCCAATGGCCCTATGAGAAACCAATCCGATGGCATGCAACGCACTCGTGCCAGGCTTTGCCGGCAGCTCCTCGACCGGGATCCCAAGAAGAGACCCTCGGCCGATGAGGCGTTGGCTGGGGATCCGTGCCCAAGTGGCTTGGAATTCTGGATTGTCACATGCCTTGCAATGTTTTGATCAACCTGCTGTCGTTCCTGATAGAAATACATACAGCATTTGCAAACTGATCCATACAGAGTCATTTTGGGAGGCTAACTTTCCTGGCAACTGCCTCTTCCACTCTTTGCAGAGCTCTTGGAGCTATTTGAATGCGCTTTGAACAAACCAATCTGCGGCCTGTCCCTGCGCCAATGGCCTGTCGCCGGCAGCCGCGCGTACAGGAGAGGCTGAGAGGGTTTTGTGGGCTTTCCTTTCACTCGATGCTCCCGCACTTTTTGTTTTTGCAGGAGCATCGGTTGCTGGCTGGGCTGCTGGCCGCTGCGGTCCTGCATGGAAGCTTGGCATGACATGCCTCCCACTCCACTCGGGAAGCTTCAGCGCGAGGCCTCACGCCAAATTTCGCTGCTCCTCCGCGACGTGCCGTGTTGGCCTGGGGCCAAGAGTTGGAAGTTGGAGATGGAAGAGATGGACGAGATAGGCTAGGAGCGAAGAGATCGCTTGGAGCTTTGCGAAACTTTGAGGCCGCCCAGCTTGGCGCTCTCTTGGCGTCTTCGCCGGCTCATGCGGGGCTCCCTTTGAAGAGCTTCGGCTCTGGTGGCTTCAAGGAATACACAGTGGGCAATGCCTACCAGGCTTGGGAAGTGCCCCCGATTTACCACTCCAACCATCCGTTGGTGATCAGATTCGCCAACGCAGGTGTCCATGCCTGACAACTACAAGGCCATCGTTTTGGTCTGTCTCCTTGCCTATGTCACGCCCACAGGTGCTGAGTGAGTCACCCACAAAGGTGACCTGGCAAGGCGACAGGCAGGCTTCAACACAACCACTGAATCATTGCCATCCAGTGCAAGTGGTGGGCAGGCAAGGAGATCTCAACACCATGACGGCCCAAGTGCAAGTAGTCGAGGCGGACACGCTCGAGAAAGCCCTCAACATGGAGGGTTTGGCTATCCGCGACATTGGCGAGAAGCTTCTTGCCAATCCAGCCTAAGATTTGAGGATGAGTCTACTGTCAATTTTGTTTTGGGTTGATGATAGTATGGCCACAGTGCTGCTTGGTGGTCCTGCTGCTTTGTCCTCTTTGATCGCTCTCACAGCAGCATTAACAGGGTAAACTCTTTAAATTTACAATCAGGAGCGTGAAGGAAGTAGTCAGTTGGCACTGCCATGCCATCTCGACTGTCTTGTTTCAACTAAGACTGTCAGACAAGAGACCATTCGGTGGATCTGACTTCATGGGCGTCACTTGGTTCTGGAAGTGGCGAGTGTGGCTGCCTCGTTTCAGCAAGAGCCAATCTCCAGCAAAGAAGGCACCAATGTTGCAGGTGTTGTCTTCATTTTTTCCCGTCGCGGGATCATTGGACTTGTAATCCTGCATTGCAGTTGTGTTTGGGTTGAAATTCGCACTGCCGAAAGCTGCATGGAGCAGAGGTAGAAAAGCTGGAAGATGCTGGCGCATACCGCTTTGAGTTCGTGAATGATAAGATCCATGAGCCCTTTGGCACGGGTTTCAGCACCATATGTCAGAAAGCATGGCTCCATGTCTCGCATTCGATGCGCATTCCTTGAGGTACATTTTGCTTGGTGTGATCAAAAAGGATTCTCAGAATTTGCTTTGCACTGTCATAACGCGAGCACCAGGCTGGCGAGTTTTGCATGCCTTGGTTCAGAGGTTGAGAGGTTGTCTCTTTCGGATTTTCCGGTTGACAGGGTGTGTTGTGCTGGCCATGCTGAGAGGCTTGCTTTGGTCCAACGGTGATCGCTACCAGACATTTGCCAAGATCATGTCGAGCTTCAAGCCGATTGCAATTTGGCAGCAAAAACCACATCCTGTGGCTCATGTGGAGCCTTGGAGCATTGCATGTGGTTATCGTGGTTTTTCGTCCCAGCATAGCATATCGCGCTTGCTGGCTGAGGTTTAGTTCGGGGAGCTGTCAAGCAGCTGTCGAGATTTGGACGACGACCATGCGAAGTATTATGATTCAATTTTCATCCTACAGACCGGTATGATATCCTCTTGAGTGCCAGCGCTTTGTGTGCCAGCACAAGTGATGCGAACCGAGAAGAAATGGAGCGCAACGTATAGAGAGAATTGCCAGAAGTGCTCTTTGGGAAGGATACACACACACACACCGCAGACAGAAACATTGGGAGGTGTTTCGAAGAGACAGTTTTCCGTCCGGTTTCTCTCTTACAGTACGGGCAGTCAAAAGACACGGCAACCTTTGCAGGTGCTCCAGCTGCCAGAGATTCAGAAGGTCGTGCGCCAGATGCTTGAAGAAGCACGGCTCCCAGCGCCCAAGCCGGCTGAACCGACGGAGTGTTGTGTGTGCATGGGTGTTTTGTTTGCCTTCTTTGTGGTTGGTTTGAACGGAAGCCAAAATCTTTCAAAAGGAAACCAAAGATTTTGGGGATTCCTTATTTTGATACATTCCAATGTTCATTCAGTGACTAAACTCGATTAGGGGGGAAACGAACAAACTGGCTGACTGTGCTTGCAAGCATGGCAGCCTTACCCAAGGTGCGATCTCTCCAACGTGAGGATGGGTTGGGGGGGAGGGGGAATTGATGTTGAGGCACCTACGAAATGTTGCACCAGGTCCAACGCTGTCATGACACACCTCCAGCTAAGATAGCATGCCTGAATGCCTGAATGCTTCAATTCCATTGGATGCAGGGAGAACAAAACATTTGTGACCTTTCTCACATTGCGCAGCTCAAAGCAGACTATGCCCTTACCTTTTTCCAGGACAGGCGAGCAAAGACCTCTGCCACGGCGGGCGCCTACAGGCGTGAAACTTCTGAGAGGAAGTCTTCAGTCGCTCATTTGGAGAATGCCGATCTGCTAGCCACAGAAAGCCAGGGTTTGGGGAGATTGTTTATCGGGGCTTTACGGACTGCAGGAAAGATGATGTGGTTGAATACTACTCAGTCACACATGGCGTCGAGACCCTAGTTGAAAAGGCTGAGCATGGAGCGAGAAGCTGCTCAATCCTTCCATGCCCTTCCTGAGGAGTGGCTCCCAGCCACCATCGTAGATGCGGACTCGATGGGCCGAGTCATGATCGATCTGCGGCCAGGGGTTTGGCTTTCGCCTGTCTAGAGCTGAGCTTGACGTCGGCGCTCGGAAGTCAAAGCACGTGTCACGGTTTGCCTCAAAGTAAGGAGGTTCAAGCCTCCAAGATTCGACCGCGGGAAGGCGCAAGTGGGGAGCTGAGAGTTCAAGATGTCGCCTGCTGCCAGGAAGCTCGAGCGATGAAAGCTCTGGAAGTCAGGAAGAATGGAGGCCTTGTGTATGGAATGCTTGCCCCAGTTCACTTTTGCCAGTGCACTTTTTGGGTCGGTCAGGCAACCAGGCAAGGTCTCGGACGAGGATGCCTCAAAAGCTGTTCCAGCAGGCTCGCTTTGCGCTTTCTTTTGCAGCCAATGGTTTTGGGCGAGGATTCAGTGGACCCAAAATGGACGATATATATGTATAATATACATGTACATATATATATATATATATATATATATATTTTTTTCTGGGCCTGCGGCCTCTAGCCGGCTACGCCTCTTTGAAGTTATACCATGTCATGTCATGTTTTTTGTATGAGAAACGTATCCTGTGCTATGATATGGCTGATTAAATTATGCCTGTTGCCCACCCCAACCCCAGATGATGCCGGGGATGCCAGCTTTCTGGGCCCTAGCCAGGACCCAAACCAGAAGGCTCACATGGGGTCGCGCGCGCGCGCGCGCGCCAGAGGCCGCAGAAGCAGCAGCCCAACAAGAACAGCCCGCAAGCCAGCCCGGAAACGCAAAAGCAACAAAACACCGTAAATAGCAGCGTTTTGTGGCTGGGGTCGCGCGCGCGCGCGCCAAAAGGCCCGAAAACCAACGCGAAAAAAGCCACAGCAAAAGCAAAGCGGACAGAACAACAGCCCACCGCTCAGCACAGCAGTTTTTGACGGTATTTACAGAGTTTTGTAGAGCGAGGACCCAGCATTGCCGGCATGCCCGGCAGCGCTTGGCGCGAAAATGCGCGAAAATGAGCCTCGCTTATATCCCTCCGACACCTTCTAAAAACAGTGCTTTTTGGGTTGAGAGGCTTTTTGGAAGGAAGTCCGGATGATGCAGACCAAGCCCCGCTGAAGCGTTGCCCAGGCCCAACCCCACACCCTGATGATGTCAGCCACATGGCCTAAACCCTGCATATACGCGAGGTTTTGTGAGGGTTTCCCACAGGCAAGCAAAACCGCAAGCCCGAGCTGGTGATGCAGAGGTGCCGGATTTAGGTAGCGCATCACGACCAAGTGGCGAGGGTCCCCTATAGTAGCTAAAGCTAGCAGGCAAATTGCCTAGCGGCGACATGCTACCCCAAGGAGGCGTAGCCGGGCTTACGCCTGACAGCCAGGCGCCCCGAAAAGCGTCAGTGTTCCACGTGCTGTCATGATTTTTGCAACCGCGCGGCCTGGAACCCATACAAAACCAGCAATAACACTTGGTTTTTCTACTGGTTCGCCAAAAACGCTGCCAGAAATCGGGTTCGGCCGGGGAGAGGTGAGCCCTGCCTGCTAAGCAGGTGTCCACATTTTCCACGTTTGCGCCCGGCCTTGAATCCATACAAAACTATCGAAAACACAGTGTTTTTTCTGCGGTTCACCGAAAAGCCTACCAAAAATCGAGTTCGGCCGGGACCGTTGAAGCCTGCCTGCTAAGCAGGTTTCCATATTTTCCACGTTTGCGCCCGCCAAAAACCTGCAAAAACACGGTGTTTTTGCACCGACTCAGGGGACAACATCCCCAGCATCCCCCGCATCACCGGCCTTATCCGCATCAATGTCCGCCATGGATGCGGACGATGCAGGTGATCTGCTCAACAAGTCGTCAAAAGTCGCCTGAACAAATTCACAAATCCTTCGCCCCTTAGCAGTGAATGCAGCCTCCGTTCGACACGGAGTAAACGTGGAGTGAACCTAGAGTGGCGCGAGCCTTATAACCTTCGGTTAGAGGGAACCGAAGGCCTCCGGGGAAACCACGGGCTCGGGGCGCCCGGATTTATGGGCTGCCGCCCAGTGCCGTTTGGGAATGATGATGAACTGATATGATAGCATCGTGACCCAGGCACGTTTTCTTGCCACACGATACCCTTCTATCTCGGCAAGAAAACTTGGGCTGAGATTACGAAGAAGATGATGGTAACCATTTCCACGCATCTTCTGCATCTCAAATCGGCTCTAACGGGACACTTGAAACGTATATAAAGAAAGATAAGGGCGATGACGAAGAAGATGATGATGATGATGAGCACCGTGACCCAAGCACGTTTTCTTGCCATACGATGCCCTTCTATCTCGGCAAGAAAGCTTGGGCTGAGATTACGAAGAAGATGATGATGATGATGATGAGCGATGATGATGATTATGACTATGATGATGATGATGATGATGACGATGATGATGATTAGCAACGTGATGATGACGATGATGATGACGATGATGATGACTATGATGATGATGATAATGATGATGATGAGTGATGATGATGATGATGATGATGATGATGATGATGATGATGATGATGATGATGAAGTGACATGATAACCATCATCGTGCATCCTCTGCATCAGCAGTCATCGTGCCAATGCGCTTTGATTGGCACGCTTCCATAGAACCTGCGCCCATTCTGGAGCGATCGTTTTCTTTCCTTGGCTTGGTGCATTTTTGTAATAATCTGGTAAGAAAATGCGCCGCTGTAAGTGCCTACAATTCTGCTGCCGCTGGGAGCATGTGCCGTGACGTTGCGTTTGCGGTAGAGGCTCATCGCCGGTCGCCCCGCAAGCCAACCAGTTTTCTCGCCGCAAGTCGTGTCCGCGATGGGTCCCCTATTGTAGCCAGGGTGCGGTGCATTTTTGCTTTGCTTTCGCGTGAAAATGCAGCGCTTTTATGATGATGATGATGACGATGATGATCATGATGATGATGATGCTGAAGTGACATGATAGTCATCATGACGCATCCTCAGCATCACCAGCAGTCATGATGATAATCGTGTCCACGCATCTTCTGCATAATCATCATGAGGCATCCTCAGCATCACCAGCAGTCATCGTGATAATCATGTCCACGCATCTTCTGCATCTCAAATCGGCTCTAACGGGACTGATGAGGATGATGATCATGATGAGCACTGTGATGATGATGATGAACTGAGATGGTGGTCATTATCGTCATCGTCATCATCATCATTGTCATCATCATCGTCGTCATCATCGTCCTCTGCATCTCCCAACGATGATGATGTGATGATGACGAGCATGTCATCATCACCATGATGGTGGTCATTATCGTCATCGTCATCATCATCATCGTCATCATCGTCATCATCATCGTCATCATCATCGTCATCATCATGGATGATAACCATCATCGTGCGTCCTCTGCATCACAAGCAGTCATGATGATAATCATGTCTACGCATCCTCTGCATCTCCAATCAGGTCACAACGATGATGATGTGATGACGATGAGCGTGTCATCATCACCATGATGGTGGTCATCATCGTCATCATCATCATCGTCACCATCATCATCATCATCGTCATCATCATCATCGTCATCCTCGTCATCAGCATCGTCATCATCATCGTCATGATCGTCGATGATAACCATCATCGTGCATCCTCTGCATCGCCAGCAGTCATGATTATAACTCATAATCATGATAGCCATCATCGTGCATCCTCTGCATCACCAGCAATCATCGTGATAATGCGCTTTGATTGGCACGCTTCCATAGAACCTTCCTTGGCTTAGTTTGCTCGATGGGTCCCCTATTGTAGCCAGGGCGCGGTGCATTTTTGCCTTGCTTTCGCGTGAAAATGCACCGCTTTTATGATGATGATGATGATGATGATGATGCTGAACTGACATGATAATCATCATGACGCATCCTCAGCATCACCAGCAGGCATCATGATAATCATGTCCACGCATCTTCTGCGTCTCAAATCGGCTCTAACGGGACTGATGATGATGATCATGATGATGATGTTGATGATGAACTGACATGATAATCATCATGTTTCATCCTCAGCATCACCAGCAGTCAGCATGATAATCATGTCCACGCATCTTCTGCATCTCAAATCGGCTCTAACAGATCATCATCATCACATCATCATCGTTGTGACCTGATTGGAGATGCAGAGGATGCGTAGACATTATTATCATCATGACGCTAGTCACGCAGAGGATGCGCAATGATGGTTATCATCCATGATGATGACGAGGACTGATGATGATGATCATGATGAGCGCCGTGATGATGATGATGATGAACTGAGATGGTGGTGGTCATTATCGTCATCATCATCATCATTGTCATCATCATCATCGTCATCATCGTCATCATCATCGTTATCATCATCATGTCATCATCACCATGATGGTGGTCATTATCGTCATCGTCATCATCATCACCGCCAATCGTCATCATCGTCATCATCATCGTCATCATCATCATGGATGATAACCATCATCGTGCATCCTCTGCATCGCCAGCAGTCATGATGATAATCATGATAACCATCATCGTGCGTCCTCTGCATCAGCAGCCGTGATGATAATCATGATAACCATCATCGTGCGTCCTCTGCATCACCAGCAGTCATCGTGATAACGCGCTTTGATTGGCACGCTTCCATAGAACCTGCGCCCATTCTGGAGCGATCGTTTTCTTTCCTTGGCTTGGTGCATTTTTGTAATAATCTGGTAAGAAATTGCGCCGCTGTAAGTGCCTACAATTCTGCTGCTGCTGGGAGCATGTGTCGTGACGTTGCGTTTGCAGTAGAGGCTCATCGCCGGTCACCCCGCAAGCCAAGCCAACCAGTTTTCTCGCCGCAAGTTGGGGCCGCGACGGGTCCCCTATTGTAGCTAGGGTGCGGTGCATTTTTGCTTTGCTTTCGCGTGAAAATGCACAGCTTTTATGATGATGATGATGATGGTGCTGAACTGACATGATAATCATCATGACGCATCCTCAGCATCACCAGCAGGCATCATGATAATCATGTCATCATGATAATCATGTCCACGCATCTTCTGCATCTCAAATCGGCTC